TCTGGAGGGCAAGGACCTCTCCATCTCCCTGGATAATGGTCGGTATCTTGTGATCAGGTGTAATAGCAATTATCAACTTTGTTTGTTTTCAGCACATAAAATTAAGTATATATCCTCAATTTGGGCAAACATGTTGCCGTTAATTACATTTTTCATAAAAAAAACCGCTACCGTTTACTGATTTTGTTTCTTTGAATATCTTTATAACTAATATTACGTCCTAGACAGGGGAAAGGTATTTCTGATATCATTGCTTGCTTTCTTTTTAAATAGGTATGGTAAAGGTAGATAACGCTATGGTTATCCGTCCTGATGACGCCGTTACCAACGGAGTTATCCACATCATCGACAGCGTCCTTCTTCCGCCACAGTACAGACCTCACTTCTGGCTCAATAATTGAACATCACTCCAATCATAAATACCAGCTACATGTCAATTTCATGTGTATATTTATCATTGATTTGTTATTGTTGTATTGAATAAGAAAAATATAAAAATATTTCTTTTACAAATGCTTTTGTCTGTTGTGGTCATTTGTGCTTCTTGGATATGAAGGAAATGTAAATGATTGAGGATATACTCTTGTTCTAATGAAATTGTGTCTAAGCCCTTACTTTTAAACTGCTAATGATATTTTGATAAAAGTTCAGCTGAAAATCTGTATTACTTAAATGAAGTATAGTGTACATTTATCAAATTCTAATGTGAACTCGACTAGGTTGCATATCCGTACTGCACCAGACTAGTTGGTGGTCTACTAGAGGTCCTTTCTGAACCAGACTAGTCGGTGGTCTACTAAAGGTCCTTACTGCACCAGCCTAGTTGATGGTCTAAAGGTCTTTACTCCACCAGTCTAGTTGGTGGTCTGCTAAAGGGGTTTGTTTGAGATGTCTCGTAGGAATATCTTCACAGACAACAGCTAGGCCGGCAGTCTTAATTTCTCCAACTTTTTATAATTCTATTGTCATTTTTAAATTACTTTATCATTTTTTTTGTCTTTGATGTAGATATGTTGACATGTGTACATTTCTATCCCGTCATAAAAATTCGTTTGATCTATTTATTAGTAAAGTAATCTGAGCATTATTCCATTACGATTGGTCAATCTGTGTTTCCTTATTTGCATTCCATAAGCAATGAAGTGACGACATAATAACTA